AAAGTTATTAGAGCATTATGTAGTCTATTGCTGGGGGTTATTGTTACCCCTTTCTGTTTATTTAGCATATCCTTTAGAGTTCTGCTTGATCTTTCTATAACTGCTTGACTTGTAGGATTATGTGGTATACCTGTAATATGCTTTATATTGTAATAAGCAAAAAACTGTTTCATTTTGATAGAGACATATGATGGAGCATTATCAGTTTTGATTTGTGCAGGTATACCCATGGTGGCCATAACTTCTAGCAAATGAGTGATTACAGAATAAGCTTTTTCAGAACTCAAAGCAGTTGCCCATTGAAATCCTGAATAAGTATCAATGGTATGGTGTACATATTTCAATTTTCCAAAATCTGCAAAGTGAAACACGTCCATCTGCCAGATTTCATTCCTCTGAGTACCCTTTGGGTTACATCCTGCTGGTAATGGCATTTGATTGTAGAAGGAACAAGTAGGACATTTCTTTACTATTTCTTTGGCTTGTTGCCAGGTTATGGAAAAATCCTTTTTTAAACCTTTACTATTGACATGATGTTCTTTATGAAATTCTGAGGCCTCCAGCACATTTCCTATCAATAATTTATCAATTTCATCATTGCCTTGTGCTAGTGCTTGTGGCAGACCAGTATAGGATCGAATGTGAGTTATATAAAAAGGATGACTCCTTTTTCTGATTGTATTTTGTAGTTGAATAAATAGTGAAGTTAATTCTGAAGCATCAGGGATAAATTCTGCAGTCTCAATATGTAATACTACTCTTTCAGCATACTGAGAGTCAGTTACTATGTTGAGAGGTTCTGAAAAATCCATTAATACCAACAGAATAGCATACAATTCTGATTTTTGAACTGAATTATAAGGACTTTGAACCACTTTACTTAAATTTTCTGATTTGTAACCTGCCTTTCCTTGTTTGTTGGCATCTGTATAAAATGTACGAACTCCAGATATGGGTTTTTCCCGTACAATTCGAGGCAAGATCCAATCAGCTCTCTTTATAAGATCAATTCTATCGCTTTTGGGATATTTGCTGTTAATTTCTCCCAAAAATTTACTTCAAGCTCTTTGCCAAGGTTCACTTTCTGTCCATAATTTTTCAATGTCCTCCTTAGTTAAAGGTACAACAATTTCTGCTGGGTCTATTCCTACTAATTGATGAAGTCTCAATTTTCCTTTCCAAATCAAGTCAGACATTTTTTCCACATAAGTTTTTAATTTTTTATTTGGATTATTTAGTAAAAATATCCATTCCAATATAATATCTTCCCTCTGCATTAATATTCCTGTAGGAGAATGCCTTGAAGGTAAAATAACCAAAATGCAATCCAGCTTTGGATCAATATGATCCACATGCCCTTCATGTACTTTCTTTTCTACCAAGGCCAATTCTTTCTCAACTTCAGGTGATAATTTTCTTGGACTATTTAAGTCCTTATCATCTTCTAAGGTTTCAAACAATTATTCAGTTCATCATTTTTTACCCCAACAATAGTTTGTAGATGAGAAATATCTCCAAATAATCTTTGAAAGTCATTAAGAGTCTGTAGTCTATCTCTCCTAATTTGTACCTTTTGGGGTCTAATTTTTTGTCGCTCTGTTTTATATCCTAAATAATTAATAGTATCTCCTCTTTGTATCTTTTCAGGAACAATTTGTAATCCCCAGCAAGGCAAAATTTTCTTTACTTCTTCAAACATTCTTTCTAAAGTATCTGCATTTGTGTCAGCTAGTAAAATATCATCCATATAATGATAAATTATAGATTTAGGAAAATTTTTACCTATCACTTCTAATGGCTGTTGTACAACATATTGACACAGAGTTGGGCTATTCAACATTCCCTGTGGGAGGACCCTCCATTGAAATCTTTTAACCGGTTGAGAATTATTATAAGTAGGCACTGTGAAAGCAAATCTTTCTCTGTCTTTTTCTTGTAAGGGTATTGAAAAGAAACAGTCTTTTAAATCAATAACTATGAGAGTCCATCCTTTTGGTAACAGAGTAGGCAGAGGAATTCCAGATTGTAGAGAGACCATTGGCTGAATTACTTTGTTAATTGCTCTAAGGTCTGTTACCATTCTCCATTTACCAGATTTCTTTTTAATAACAAATACAGGAGAATTCCAAGGGCTGGTTGATTCTTCAATATGCTGAGCATTTAACTGTTCTTCTTCCAACTCTTTTAAAGCCTGTAGTTTCTCTGTTGTTAAAGGCCATTGCTGGACCCATACAGGCTTGTCTGTTAACCATTTTAAAGGTAGAGCTGTTGCTGTCTTTGGAAGATCATCCGTTGTTGTGCCCTGTTCTTGTATAATATGAATGGCTGGTGACCACTCATTAGAATAATATCTTCTAATATTTCTCTCAGAAACATGTGCTAGTTTATGATTTGTTTCTGAGATTGGAGGGATGTTAATCTGAGTATTCCATTGTTGCAACAAGTCTCAACCCCACAGGTTCATAGCTATGTTAGCCACATATGGTTTTAATTTTCCTCTCTGTCCTTGTGGACCTATACATCGAGCCATCTTGCACTCTGTTTCATCTGAGATAAAGTCCCAATTCCTAACAGTTGAACATTTACCTCCTGAAGAGGCCAATTTGGATGCCAACATTCTGGTGCAATTATGTTAACGTCCGCACCTGTGTCTACCAGACCAGACAACAAAACACCATTTTTTTTTATTGTTAATTTTGGTCTTTGTTCATTAATAGAAGTTTGCCAAAAATTTTTCTTTATATTTTCTCCTGAATTTTCTATTCTCTCTGTTTCATCATCCTGACCAGCATGTTTTATTCCAATAGGCATTTGGTTATTTAATTGCTCTGAGTAGGGGTTTCCTCTATGACTGCAGGAAAGGTTTGAACTGGATTTGCTATTGGGGCCTGCCTGAGGCCCCTCTGAGAGTTTTCCGAAAACTGAGGCAAAGGATTACCTTGTTTGTCTCTTGTTGATCTGCATTCATTGGTCCAGTGTTTTCCCTTACCACACCTTCTGCCTACTCCAGAAGGAAGGGGCATTCTCTTGCCATTGTTCCTTGAAGAAACATTGTTTCTAGGAATGACCTGTTTACAGTCCCTTTTCAAATGTCCTTGCTTTCCACATCCAAAACATCTAACATTCCTCAAACCTCTTGAAATTGCTTCTCCTACCCACATATCATCATGGTCATGAGCCTCAACATTAACCGTGTCTCTAATCCAATCTTCCAGAGGTGCAGATCTTGCCTTTAATGGCCTGATTATTGTTTTGCATGCTGCATTCACATTCTCAAAGGCCAAAGATTCAATTATTATCTAACTAGCTTCTGAATCCGGGACCATTCTCTTTACTGCTGAAGCCAGTCTTTGTAAAAACTCTGTGAAAGATTCTTTTGGGTCTTGTATAACCTTTGTAAATTACCCAATTTTTTTTTCATGGTTCCTCAACTCTGTCCCATGCATTCAAGGCTGCTGTTCGACATAAAATTAGGGTTTGGAATCATATAAACATTGTGTTTGTACTGAAACATATTGGCCTTCTCCAATAAGCTGATCCTGGCAGACTTGTATTCCTTTATCCCTCCATTGTTTTTCTATGTTTTTAGCTTCATCCTTGAACCAAGTTAGCCACTGAAGCCTCTGACTGGGTTCAAGAACAGCTTGTGCCAGCTCCTGCGAGTCCTGTAGTAGAATCCTATTATATGTTAACCAGGAGTTTTACATTTGCTTTACATATGGGGAATGCATGCCATAAGATACTATTGCCTCCTTAAACCTTCGAAAATCTAACATTTCAATTGGAGCCCAAATATTTTGTGTAGTCATTTGATTTGGCAACTGCTGTATGGTTACTGGATAAATTAAGGGTGACTTTGTGAAAACAGGCTTTCTTTCTGTAACCTTATGATCCAATCTTGAAATAACTTCACTGTTAATTTCTTCTGTCTGAATTTTTACAGGTTTAACAAGTTTTTCTAAAGCTGCCATCCTGGCCCTTAATTTGACTGTCTTTTTAAATAGTAAAATGAGGATAAGCCAGGCAGGAAAACTCTAGCTACACTTTTTACTTGTTTCATTGCTGTAAGAAAATATCCAAACAAAATCAACTTAATTAAGAAATAATTTATTATGGCTTGAAGTTGCCATAAAATTCAATGGGTTGCATTTTATCATGCAGGAGCACAAAGCCAGCTGTTCATCTCTGCAGTCAGGAGGAAAACATGAACAGGAAGTGAGCTTAAGCTATAAAAAGTCAGAATCATTCCCAGTTACTTTCTTCAGCAAAACTTTACTCCTAAAGGTTCCACTACCTACCCAAACAGTGCCACCAGCCAAGGACCAAGTATTCAAGCACTTAAGTCCTTGTGAGGACATTTCATATTCAAACCACTAAAGCTCCCAGAATCTGTGCCCTTGTGTCATGAACTGTCCAGTAAGGGCTGGTCACTGTAGACAGTTGAGTGACTACAAGGCTTGGACCCACTACAAAAGAGGCAGGCTGGTATCCTCAGTGAAGCTCCAGATGACTCCAGCATGAAAACATAGCTTTGTTTTGGAAAAGAACAAGTAGAAAACACATCTTATCTTTGAGTTAATGGAGAAGTATGTTGCCAGCTGTCCACACCAGTTTAAGATATGGCCCGCTGTCATTGTGTTTCTGCATTAATTCTGGTATGTCAAATTGGTAGATATAAAGATTGATGCAGTTGTTAATTAAATATGCCCCACTTCAGATTCTTAGAATCCATGTTTTTTTTCATAACAGATGTGAGAATTGGGTTTCGCCTTCTATGGTGCTTAGTTGTCTAGGCTCTGAAATGTGGAGGTTGAGGGAATTGTCCTCTTTCACTTGTAGTTCTAATATCTTTACCAAGAAGCACTGTGGAGCTATATGCCTGATTTATTTCCACAGTGTCTTGTGACACTGTCGCATATTATCAGTTGGGAAAGTGGTGAATTTGCAAGTAGACTCAAGGCCTTTAATGCTTTTTTGGCATCCTCCTTTCCCCTCCACAGGCGGAACCCTTTGCACTTCCACCTCATCGCTGATTCTATTGCGGAACAGATCCTGGCTACACTCTTCCAGACCTGGATGGTACCGGCTGTGCGTGTGGACTTCTATAATGCTGATGAGCTCAAGGTATGGAAAGGAAGAAGGGAGGAAGGGAGAAGAGTTTCCCTGATGTGCTGCATTGGAAACCTTGGTTGGGTATCATTAATTTAACTGTAGCAAGAACAGGAACCTCACTTCCTAGTAGGAAATGTTCAGTTTATAACTGTACTTATCTGAATTTATCATTAAGCCACATATTAGCAAAACTGGTCATCTAATACAGAATCTACTTTGGTCTGGGCAATTCCAGCCACCAAGGAAATCGGTAGAAGGTGAAGTTCACTGACCGCGGTATGTATCTGAACATGGTCTGTGGTTGAATGGTAGATAATCACTCTATTGTTCACTGAGGTGAATGTTGACCTCAGAATCTGGCAGACCTTGCCTTAACTCTAAGCACAGTTAACTACTGGTCACAAGACACAAATCAATAAGCAGCCCATATTAGCATGTTTTTCAGGTACGGAAAGGTTATAATCCCAACTATTGGGGTAAGTAGGAGTTTCTGATGAAAGATGATGATACCCCAAGAAAAATACACTGAATAAATACTGCATTAGGAAGATTTCAACCAATAAAATTCATGTGGTCATCTGATTCCTTTGCTTGAATGATGCCACCTTGTTTGCATGATGATTGAGATTGTGGTCTAATTAAAGACCACTGACGAGGGCTCCCAACTCTGCTTCTTATCTATCTCTTGTCTCCCTAACATTTAGCTATAAATATTAGAGGACACCTAATATGTGGCTTCTCCAGTGTTGCAGTCCTTTGCTTATTCTGTGCCCTCTATCAAACTTATTCTTCCTAATATCTTACCACCATCTGACCCATCCTTTTATAGTCAATGGCATTACTTTCCTTTCTCCTTTCCAAGAATGAGCAAGAAACTTGCTATCCACTTGGCTCTTACCACTATGTCTAATCTGTAGTTCTTAGTCCCCATGCACCCAAAGGTAGCTATGAATGCATCATGACACAAAATATAAACTTACATGAAACATGATAAGTTGTGTGTGTGCGTATTTGTGTTTACATTTATTTTTATTTTCTTATTTTTTGTAAAACACTTCCATAAATCTTGAGCAAGGAATGTGTAAATGACAGTATTGTGTCACAGTGTTAAAATGCTGAGCCTGCCATTGGAGTCTAGCAGCACCTCTTTATTGAAGTAAGAAGATGAGAGCGCATGCCTTCTTTTTCTGTTTTTCTGATACGTAGTAGGTGGTGCATGGTAGGTGTCTCACATACTTGGAGGTCTAGTGTACTGCTATTGTTAGAGGAACTAGTAGTTTTGGAGGAAAACTCTGGCTTTCTGTTTCTAACCACCTTGGGAAGGACCAGACACATAGGCATGGGGTTGATTCTGTCAAATAGATTCTTCTAAGAGCCACAAAGCCATTATAATTTCATTTCAGAGTAGGAACATTTTAAATAGATTGATCATGTTGATGCAGGCTAGTTTCTGATTTTCACATATTTCAGGCTCCGAGGTTGACCGAGACGTTCAGTATTTTGCATTTGGGGGGTTATTCTAATTTGTGTGCCATTCCAATCTATTCTGAGCTAAAATTGATTAACACTTTTAAAAAGGTAAAAACAAAATTTAGCAAATTGCTGTACTAATTAAGGTGAAAAGCAAGTCACTCTGTTTCCTAGGATCTTAGTGCATATACCATGCGTAAATGAAAAGAGGGAAGCAAGTCACTCAGTTTCCCAGGGTCTTAGTACATATACCATGCATAAATGAAAAGAGGGAGGAGGAACAGAGGGAGGAGGAGCAGAGCTGGCAAGAGGGCTGCCTCTGCCTCCACACTTATTGCTCACTCCACTTCCTCCCTCCCTTGTCCCAATCAATAAGCCACTTATGGCTTGTTTAGAAACACAGACTGAGTCAGGTAGGGTGGCACGGGGCTGTGATCCCAGAAATGAGGAAAATAGGGCAGAAGGATAATTATTTCCAAGCCAACCTGAATGATATAAAAGAAAAAAAAAAAAAAAAAACTGGGTGAGGGCAGTTCCTAAATTTTAATTTCAAATATTTGTTATAATGCCAGCCACTGAAGGAGGATATAGTATCTGTAACATGTCAGGTTCTCATAAATACTTGGTGCTTTCAGACACAGTGCCTGGAACCTATAGTCCCAGCACTAGGGAGACTGAAGTGGGAGGACTGATAGAAACTTGGAATTAGAGAAAACATAGTAAGACCCTGTTTTTGTTTGTTTGTTTGTTTTGTTTTGATTTTTAATGTTTTGAAAATTGAAGAATCCCACTTTCTTTGAATCCTAAGATCATGTAGTACCTAAGTTGTGGATCCTATTGATCACATGGCCTGGGATGTGATCTGTAATGTTGATTAATGATTAGGATGTTGAAGGGACAGGGTGCCCCCTGGAGCCCAGGACTTTTCCGAGTCCCTGAACCTCAGACGACAGGAGACGAATAGAGGGTCTATGGTTCTACTCACGGAGATCCAGATAGACCAGTTGTCTATTATTTTACATACTGGTTTCATTCTGGTTACATTTTTTGTCAATTTGATACAAGTTAGGGTTCTTTAGGAAGGAGAACCTCAGTTGGGAAAAATTCCCCTGTCAGATTGGTCTGTTGGATATATTCTTGATTAAGAGTTGATGTGGGAGGGCCCAGCACACTGGGATGGTACCCCCTCTGGATAGTTGGTCCTGGGTTGTACATAGACTGAGCAAGACATGGAAAGCAAACCAGGAAGCAGTGTTCCTCCATGGCCTCTGTTTTAGTTTCTGCCTTGAGTTTCTTTCATGTCTCCCTTCAATGGTGGATTATGATCAGGATATTTAAGCTAAATAAACTCTTTCCTTCCCAAGTTGCCTTTGGTCTTGGTCTTTATCACAGCCATAGAAAACAAGCTAGGACAGTTATTAACTGAGTTAAATCTTTTATTATTTAAAACATGTAACAATTTAACGAATTCCACCTGGCACATTAAAATGGGTACTATCTTCTAGAATCGTTTCCTCCATAGAAGATTCCTGACATCTCTACTTTTTTTTTACCTGTTACCATCCCTCTCCTATGTCTCACGATTCCTATTCCCACAACTTTGCAGGATAATGAATGGATACATTATATAGAACATGATGTTTTCATGTCATCAGTGGTCATACAGGAAAACATTTATATATGATCATCTCTGCCAACTTGCATCTGCCCCTTGCCTGGCTCATGGCACTCTCATCTGCATAGCTGCTTATTATTGGTTTGTCCTTCCTCTTCCTATGTGTTACCCCATATCCTAGCTGAGTCCTATCTCCCTAGCCAATATCCCCAACCAAGCTTCCTCTCTTGTCTTCTCTTCTGCTCACATTTCCTCTCCCAGGTCTATTCTTGCACAATAGCAAGGATCAGTTTTCTGAAAATGCAAGCCCATGCTGGGTACCCCTGTTTTCTGTTGAAAATCATCTGTGGCCCACTATTGCTCATAAGAGCAAGACCACAGCTCTGCAAACTATTTTTTTTTTTTTTTTTGCTATTAAAACTGTTTCTGGTTTCCCTTTCCTTGTTACTAAGTCATTACCTATTCTTTTGCTGAGGCTATGCTGTCGGGGGAAATTCCCTACTTCATCATCACCTTGGAGACCCTTTGTTTTGTGGATTGCATGTGTTTTTTCAGGGAACTCACCGCAGATCATAAAACTCCATGGCATCCTGTGATAAATTGCTTGTGATGGTTTGAGAATGGCTTACGTAGACTCATATGTTTGAATACTTGGTCAATAGCTGGTGGAACTGTTTGGGAAGGATTAGGCTGTGTGTCCTTTTTGGAGATGTGTCATTGGCAAATGCTTTGAAATTTCAAATGTCTACAGCATTCCTATTAGCCCCTATACCTGGTAGTTTTGTCTTAAGATGTGAGCTCTCAGCTACTGCTCCAATATCATGCCTGCCTGTCTGTTACCCTGCTCCCTGGCATGATCTTATGGACTGTTAACACTCTGAAACTATAAGCCTCAAATGAACTCTTGGTCATGGTGTCTTATCACAGTATTAGAAAGGCAGCTAAGACCCATAGTATCTGTTTGTTCCCTGGATTTTGTCCCTGCTGTGTGCCTAATTGGGTATCTGATTAAGAAAATGCTTGCTAAGTAACTCATACACAGTACATTCAGAGCTGTTTTGTTTATTTTGTTTTCAGTTCTGAGGATTTAACCTGGGGCCTCCCAAATGCTAGGCATGCACCATACTACTGGGCTATATTCTCTCCCCTTTTTTTTTTTACATTTTGCTTTCAGTGAGTATCTCACTAAGCTTCCCAGGCTAGTCTGGAACCTCTGATAATCCTGCCTCAGCCTCCCAAGAGCTGGGATTAGGGGCCTGGGTTACCATGTACAGCTCAAGCACTGGGTTATAAAGAACAACAAGGCAAGATTTGTCTTTGATCACAAAAGAGGGTCATTACATTTCTGAGTATGATTTGGAGTCTGTGGGCAGCCAGATGTCTGCCTGGCTGTGACTTTACAATAGTGGTTCTGTGTGTACCAGCACATATCCTAATAGGAGCCTTGGGACAGATAAGTAAGCATTTTTTTTCTATCTTTTCTTTTGACTGTTCCACTTTTCTTTTTCAGATAGTATTCATTATGTAGTTAGCATTGGCCTTGAACTCACCATGTAGCCCATGCTAGCTTCAAATTCACTGTGAAACCAGGATGAGTATTTTTCCATGACAAATGTGAGGAACAGAGCACATTCATGTGTCACACTTTAGATGATATCTGGGAAGGAGGAATAACAGGAAGGAAGCAGATATGAGCTGTGTTCTGTCGTTGTGTTCAACAAGTATGTCAGATGGCACATCTGCAGACACACAAGACAGCCGCCTCCTCTGATATGGCTGGCTCCAAGAAATTGCTTTGTAAAGCTCTTGGAAATGGCACTTCTCAGAAATGCTCCTGTGAGCCCCTTATTTTTTCTGTTAGTGCTGAAGATGGAGTATGAGGGAATAGGAAATTTATGAGGGATGGGTACATGATTAAAAACGAACT